TAGCAAGTAGTTCCTGCATTCTCCTTGAATCTTGGGCCTAGCCCCCCTGCTGGAGAGCATACCAAGTCTGAATATTTCGTAATAAAATAAGAATAGTTTTAAATAATAAAATACTTTTGCCTGTGCCAGGTCAGCCCTGCAACCTCCAACTTCTCTGTCACTCACAGGCTGTTATTGATGGTGCACGCATGTGACCCTGTCTTAACCCTGGCTGGTTTTTTCTTCCCTTTCCTGGCAGCCACTGCTTCTTGGGACACCTTTCTCATGCTATGGAGTTTGAAGCCACACACTAGAGCTTACAGATATGTCGGCCACAAGGACGTCGTGACCAGCGTACAGTTTTCTCCCCAGGGAAACTTACTGGCGTCGGCTTCACGAGACAGAACTGTTAGACTCTGGGTTCCTGATAGGTAAGGAGAAGCAAACACTCGATACACTTCCGATTGGGACTGTGAGAGGCTCCTGAGGCCTGGCTGCTCCTAATCTGCTTCCTGGGGATGCCTCAGCTCATTAATGGCCTGTGCTCATTGGGGTCACGGAAATACTGCCCTGGTTTTAAACTTGAGCTATTTCATTCAACTCAAAATTAGGTGGTCCTTTTGAAAAACCATTTCTTACCTGGAGATCCATACAATATGTCTGATTTTTTTTGGGGAGGGAGACGGCTTGCAATCTCTTTAAATCTGAAAGAAACACAATGGCATATATCAGAAGATTAATTTATTAGCCTCTTTGTACCCATTCATGGGTTTTTAGGGGCCCTCGGAACCTTGTCAGCACCCCTGTGCTTAGACTATCCTTTAATTGTTATCATTAATTTTGGAGCTCTAGAATTTTCTTGTTTAAAAACTTTCTGACAAAAATGTAAATCATTGCTTGGCAGTGGTGCCACACGCCTTTAATCCCAGCACTCAGGAGGCATAGGCAGGCAGATCTCAGAATTTGAGGCCAGCCTGGTCTACAGATCGAAGACCAGGACAGCCAGGGCTACACAGAGAAACCAAATAAAAAAAAAAAAAAAAAAGATTGTTTTGAGCCCAGAGTGGTTGTTCACCCATTTGATTCCAGCACTTAAGAGGCAGATGGATCTCTGAGTTCAAAGCCAGCCTAGTCTACACAGCAAGTTCCAAGCCTGTCATGGATACATAGTTGAGACCTTGTTTGAATGAAAACAAAAATATCTCAACACAGACAGAGAAGATGGCTCAGAAGTCACGAGCCACTGCTTCGGAGGACAGGACTGTGGTTCCTGACACCCCAACACAGGGCAGCTCCCCATTGCTTTCAACTCCAGCTCCAGGAGTCCAACCCTCTTCTGGCTGAGGACACTTTTATCCAAGTGGAATACACTCATACACACACACAGCGTTTCTTTTGAGACAGGGTTTCTCTACATAGCCCTGGCTGTCCTGGAACTCACTGTATAGACTATTGGCTTTGAACTCAGAGATCCACCTGCCTGTCTCCTGAGTGCTGGGATTAAAGTGTGTGCCACCATGCCTGGCACGCATGCAATTTTTAAAAATGGGGGTTGGAGAGATGTTCAATGGTTTGAAAAAGCACAGGCTGCTCTTGGAGGAGACCCAGTTTGGTCCCAAGCACCCCCACGGTGGCTCACACACATCTGTAACTGTTACACGAATCCTGACAGGAAAACTTCCAACTACCTGTAACTCCAGTTCCAGGGAATCCAAGGTCCTCTTTTGGCCTCCATATCATGGTGCACACACATACATACATATATACATACACACACATACATACACACATACATACATATACACACACATACATGCAGATAAAACATTCACATACAAAAATAAATGTAAAACCCTTTTAAAAACATTTCAGTATTTATTCACATCTGTTTGCCAGATCCTATGTTATATGCTTTACAATCATTAATTCTGAATATTGCTGTTACATTGATGATTAAAGGCGTTTTTTCCAGTTTTGTGGGTTTTGTTTTTTTGGCTGGCCAGGAACTCCCTTTGTAGACCAGGCTGGCCTCGAATCCACAGAGATCCGCCTGCTCTGCCTCCCCGGTGCTGGAATTAAAGGTGTGTACAACCACACTCTGCAGTCTCATGTTTCCCCTAACAAAGGAAGAAAACGGAGCCTGTCTCGTGGAGTAACTTGCCCAATACCACACAACCGGCAGGTGGTAGGAATGAGGCTTGAGTATAGGCCCTTCCACACCATACACCACTTACCACCAAGAAAAATGGCTGAGTTGCATCTATTATTTTTACTAAATTCCATCTGTAAAATCACAGGCATAGCTTACTATCCTTATATGGCAGTTTCTATCTTTAATGATATTAAAAAAATAGTAGAAAGTCTGATATGCTATTACTAGGCTGGAAAAGAGTGTTATCACAGATAACAATAAAACTGCCCCGTCCTCAGTGCAGTAACTTAGAACCTGTTATCAGATCAAGTCTGCTGATGCAAACAATGTCGACGCAGGTAGAGAACAGAAACACTATTTACTATACAAACACTTGACAGCTTTTGGGGTTGTTTGTTTTAGATTTTTGAGACAAGGTCACTAGGTAGCCCAGGCTAGCCTTGAACTTGCCAAGCAGCCCAAGCGGGTCTTGTGATCCACCTGCTTTTGCCTCTGGAGGGCCTGAAACCCTATTTTTAAGCCATTTCTGTTGAGTAAGAATCCAAGATGCATGTATCCACATTGTGTTCTCCACATTCAACGTGATGATGTCTGCACACACAGGAAACAGCTAAGTCCTCTCACACAGCAAAAAAGGTCTTGGGATGACCATCCTAAGTCAGCGTTTCTTCATGCCGTACGTATTCCCCAATGTCTGCTTGATGAAACACCACAATTGCCATGGGATCCACTTTTCTGCAGTCTTGAGTAGACTTTGCTGCTACCCCAAAACCCTAGAATTGAAAGGACAGACACCAATCTACTCACAAAATAAATAGAACCAACCAAACAAAAACCTGTGCTAAAGAGAAAAACAATGAAAGCATGAAATTTGCAGGCAAATGGATGGAACTAGAAAAAATCATCCTGAGTGAGGTAACCCAAACCCAGAAAGACAGTCATGGTATGTACT